GGTGTCATGCCAAGCCTTCCTGGACACATGGTGTCCCCGGCGCATTATTTCCCCAGAATTTATCGCTTCAGAGATCAATGCTCGTTTTTGTCTTTGGCAGAAACAACTCTTTTCTGTAGAAGCACCAGGAAATGGTGCTGCAATGGCTGACCCGCGCGCATCTGTAACGCCACGCCTTGCTGGAAAGAGGTGCAGTTGAACTGCTACTTCCGCTACCTTACCCGCTTGGAGAAAGGGGGTTGTTTCGTTTTGAGCGTTAGACGATGGCCACTCGTATATCCCAGATCGACACTCCAGGACTATCTTGTACTGGTTGTGTGATTCACGATTAGGTGCATGATCGTCTCCACAAACTGAGGATAAATAGGTTTAAGTCCTTTACTTGAAATAGCGTATACCCATGAGATGAAGCTGCCGCATGCATAATTGTGTGAATGGCGCAGTGTTACCAGCATTGGAAAAATGACTCGGAACGGTGCGTGTAGCTGGTCTGGCTGGAGAGGCGGCGAGCATTGAATAGTGCTATTGAATGCGTGAATGGCCTCATCTGGATGCACCTTGACAATCTAATGGCCTCCTCTTGGACCCTTGCATACTGTGAATCCCTCTCAATGGGGAACTACCCCTCCAATTATCGATATGTTTGTCTCTTCAAATAATATGATCTATTGTTGTGACCAGGATTGGTTCGACCCCTGCGCCTCTGAAAGGCATGGTGTAAAAGGAAGTTCAGCTGTGGGGCATCTCGCCGCCAGTGAATACAATGAGGATTGCCGATTTTCCGGCTTTTGAGTCCGTGAGTTGTTTTGATCAGCACTTCTTGCGTCAGTGCCAGTCGATGCTGGAAGCTTCTGGAACCGCACACTTGCATTTTGCTGCAAGCGAAAACTCACATCGGACCATGTTGCTCTGACAACGCCAAATCGATGACACAATACCGATTCCCTCCTTTTCAGCATCAACCACTATGTTTGCATCTAGCAAACCCTGCGTATTCAAAAGATCTGGGAACTTCCAGGCTCCTTGGCAAAAGCGAAGATAGCACACTGCCACGTATAGAGACAAAACGTGCCTTGTGTATCCGAACAAGGCGTATAAGAAGCTATCCTGATTAAAAGGCCAAAACGCTGCCCATGTGGTAGGTCACGGTGTGGGCTCTGTGCCGGGTGAAATACAAATAAAAACCCTGTTGGGCCACGAGGCTGCATCCACGCTGTGAATTCCTTGGCGCTGGTCCCTCATTTGATTTCGGAAACAGATTAACATATTGTCGTAAACAGCACGTAAAACCTATCTTCGAAATCTACACTCTGCAACCATCTGTGGCAATCAAAAAAATGATAAAAAACCATTTGAATCTGCCAGACGCAAGATCCGACTATTCTTCTCGCAGGATCCCAGAGACACAAAAAATGCCCAAGAAGAGCTGTAGCTCGCAATACACTCTCTTCACCATGCCGGCAGCAACATTATCACACCCACACACATCTTTGACGCTACCGAGTATTGCCGCGAGGAAGGCTGGCTGATTCTCCACGCACATTGCAGAGCAGCTCCTTGGATGCCTCGAGAATACCCCCGAACACCTCGGATGTATGGTTGATGACCTTGTCGAGGTCAGCCCTCGCAGAAAATTTGCGCTTAAGACTATCCTCTATCGTGGTCAGGCGGCCCTGCAGGGCATTTATTTCGGTAAGCAAGCGATTCCGTTCTTCTTCCTCGCGCCTAATGCTTTCGTCTATCTCGGCGCGTTGCTCTTTCATCTCCTCGATAACAGACACCAGTTCATTACTGGTTGCTTGCATATCAGAACCTAAAGACGCCATTTTCTACTACAGTGGAAGATATGTGTGTGAGAAAGGGAGAGGGAGGAAAAAAGTGGCACAAATCATTGTTAACAAGCGTTCATTGCGAACCCATGACTTTAGGAGGCTTTCTGCATCCTCAAATACAGCCCTCACAACCAGAACCGACAAAACCCGATTAAGTGTTGGCGTCACACCTCGTGATGAAATCGAATCAGCCCCTGTGGGGGCATATGTGGGGAAAAAGCGTTCTCAATTCCATAACCGCCATACACAGCCGCACTCCAAGGCCAAGCTGAGCAATTCAGGGAGAATCCTGTGTGTGCGTGTGTGTGTGCTTGGGGCACCATCCCTCTTGCTCCATCGACCCGCGGCACCGAGCGAGCAAACCCTCTGCGGCACGCCGTGTGCATGCATATTGTTTAAGTGAACCAGTGAGCAGACTTACTGCAAAAACAACCAGACTGTCCATTGCCACCCCAACATACGCTGGGTCATGGAAGTGGCAACCAGGTACCGCCCCCACTTAATGAGCAATTCAAGCGACGTCAATCCCTAATGGTGGACTCACGACATCGTACACATGCAGACTCTACTTCTTTGTGAAGGAAATGAGAAAAAAAAACTTATTTAGGTGTGTTTCCTGTTCTTCTGTTTATCCCACAGAGAGGGAAGAGCCAGTCCCCTCAATATAACACCAGAAGAAGAAAGACCACAACGCACACGAGGCCATCGTTCAAATTTTCCTCAACTTCGTTTTTATTTCTTCCGCAAGATAGAAGCAGTCGCGGCAGCAACAGTCATGGGCTGTGGGCGGGGAGCACCATTGGCTTTAATTGCTGCTGCTACACGTCGGAGAAGCTCCTGTTTGCTGCAGATATCCTGCACTGTCACGCCACGTGTCTTTGTATCGAACTCACTCATGCGAACGTAGTGCTCCGCTTGTGGCCGCTTGATCGCAACCTTTACGCATCCCTTTGGCACAAAGGCGTACCGTTCTGATGACTGGGAGCGCGGAAGTGAGACTTTGCGCTCAATAAAGAAATCCTTGTATCCCAGAGTTCCAAGTACCACAGCTATCTCCTCAAGCTGCGGATTCTCTACGGACTGCGTCTTGGTGAGGCGTCGTCCCTCGCTCGGGGTTAGGTTGGAATCTAGGTACTGCGGGAATATCGTCTGGTACGCCAGCTTGTTGTACGGCGGCGATGATTGCTGCATTGCTGAATGTGAAAAAAAAAGAGACCCAACAGAAGAAGCGAAAAAAAAACGCCAAAAAAGGCAATAGAAAAAGATTAGCAGATTTTCACACTCCTTCGCCGCGTCAAATCCTTAAAGGGGGAAGAAAGAGACAAAAAAAAAGTGAAGTAAAACCAGGCGCCTGCTATTTGTTTTCTTGTATGAATACTTGTATTTGTGCGGAAGCGCGATGCCAACACATGAGTTTATGCGCACCATCCATAATGGATAGAAACAGAGATATTAAGGCGCATACAACACGGCCAACAAGTATTGAAACACGCACAAGCACATATATAGACGCACAGATGCATCTTAACGCTTCGCACAAGCGCCTATCAAGCTGTCTTTTAGGTGGCACTGTTGCTTCGACGTGGTGCTTAGTAGTATGGAGAACATGCCATTTCATTTGGGGGTGTTTAACTCCTTCTCCCTTGTCTCGTTCTTTTAGGTGAAAATGAAAGCAAAACTTCCTAAAGTTGTCTTTTCGTTCATCAAAATATTTGATAAATTCTTTGCGGTCACCACCTTCTCATTTTTTATGCGTTTCACACACAATTACTTTGTTTTCCTTTTTTTTAGTATATCAGCTTACATAGATGATGCGGGTCTGGTTGGGGTAGCCCTTCACCTTGTGGTCCGCGTGCACGGCGACCACGATATCCCCCGGAACAACGTAGCCCTTTTTCTTGGCGCTCTCCACGCCGAGCTGCACGCGGTTCTCCTTGTCCTCATCAGCGCCGCAACGCTCAGCATCGTAGAAGACGCTCTCCACTGACCGTGTGACGTTTAGCTGCCGGCACGTCCGCATGCGGGTAGTGACGCAGATAATGGGACAGTCAGGGCGGTACTTGCTCGTGAGCCGCGCGCTTCGGCCTGAGTTACTCAGAACAAGTAGCACCTTCGCTCGCACTTCATACACGGAGTTCACAGCGCTGCAGCAGACCGCCTCTTCAGGTGACATGGGAATCTTCTGCATACACTTAATGCTATTAAACATGACGAATTGGTTGGTGGCGCTCTGCGCCTCCACGCAGATGCGAGCCATGTACCTCACAACTTCATTTGGGTACTTTCCCTTCGCCGTCTCACCTGACAACATCACACAATCAGCACCGTTGAAGACGGCATTGGCGACGTCCGACACCTCCGCGCGTGTTGGCCGTGGGTTTGCTGTCATGCTCTCGAGCATCTGCGTCGCGCATATAACTGGCTTTCCGGCCACATTGCACTTGCTGATGAGCATCATCTGCGCCACGACGACTTTCTCCGCTGGGATCTCCACTCCGAGGTCGCCGCGTGCCACCATAATACCGTCGCTCACCGCAATGATGCCATCAATGTTCTGTACACCCTGGTGGTTCTCGATCTTAGAGATGACAAGGGTGTCCTTGCCCTTTTCGCCAAGGGCAGCGCGTACCTCCTGCACCTGCTCCGCTGTGCGGATGAACGAGGCAAAGATGATGTCAACGCCCTGCTCCACGCCAAACTTCAGGTCCTCACGGTCCTTTGCTGACACTGCCGGCAGGTCCACGTCGCAGCCCGGCAGGTTGCAGCCCTTGCGGTCCGTCAGGCGGTGGAAGTTGTTTGCGTGGCACTTCAGTGTACAATCGTCCTCTTTGCTCAGCACCTTGAGATCCAGCACACCGTCGTCGATGTAAATAGAGCCACCGGGGCGCACGGCCGTGGCAAGGCGCGGATAGTCGACGTAGAACTTCTCCTTCGTTCCTTTCTTCTCAAAGGCAGGATCGGTCGTCACGAAAACTGTGTCGCCCGGGTTCAGAACGGCCTCGCCGCCCACAAAAAGACCAGTGCGAATCTCTGGCCCTTTTGTGTCGAGCGCGATGCCGATGTGAAGCCCGAGCTCAGCAGCCGCAGTACGCACGTTGTTGATTGTCGCCTGGTGGTACTCGTGGCTGCCATGTGAGAAGTTCATGCGTGCAACAGACATACCGCTCTTCATAAGACCCTTGAGCGCTTCGACACTCTGCGTGCTAGGACCAATTGTGCATACGATGCGGTTAGCACGATAGTTGGCAATGGGCTCAAAAATAGAGAGCTGAATATTGTGGGCGAGTTGTGACATACGTGACGTAAACACCTGTTTTTTTTTATTGGGTTCCTTACCTTCCGTTGGTGTGTCCTATTAGCGCGTTGTATATATACATATATATATATATATATATGCATATACAAAGATAGATTGATAGAAAGATATATATATATATCTATATGTATATATGTGACTTTTGCAAAGTGTGACCGCAAGCAATGGGGCCACCTCAGCCTATCCCTTCTTTTTTTTCAAAAAAGGGAGGCAGTAGTAGCAGCTTCATTCAATCCTTATAGTGGCAAATGCGAGTTTCTTTACAATGTCTCATCTTCCTTTCTGGATTTTTTTCTTGTCTTTTTCCTCGGTCTTGCTGGTTACCACCCACCTGCCGATGTAACAGACGCCCATCGTTTCTCAGTAGGTGATTGTGGCTTTCTTTCCTTCTTTAAAAAAAAAAATGTATGTGTTCTGCTTGTTGCAGTGTATCGAGTCCTGTACGGCCTGCGCGCACACTTTCCACCCTCGCCGTATCGCTGCCGTAGAGGAGGGTATCACTCGTCAGCCTTCACCTCGCTTTCCTCCAGCTGAGACTCTGTTTTGGCACCATCAACCACCTCCTGCTCTTCCCCCTTTTCTTCTTGGGGTTGCGGCTCCTCCTGCTCTTCTTCTTCTTCGTCGTCACTGGAAAGCTCCAGATCGCCTGTCTTGATGTGGCTCTCGTATTCCTTCTGTTTGGCGCTGATCCTCTTCACGGCGTCATCAATGGCCGCAAGCGCCAGCGGCGGTTCCTCTCCAATGAGCTGGAACAGGCGAATCTTCTCTTCACCGTGCTGCAGCACGCGGTTCTTGGGTTCCGTTTTTTGCTGCTTCTGTTGCTGCTGCTGCTGCTTCTGTTGTTGTTTGTTTTTCTTGCCGCCGACGGCAGCCTTGTGCGGTTCTGTCCACTTCTTGCCGTCATTCAACACGACAGCTCCCTCAGGGAGAAACTTGGTGGGGTCAAACGTCGCGGCGGCGTTCTTCCTCGCGAGCTCCTCCTCCTCGCGCTGAACCATCATCTTGTGGTCGCGTAGATAACGCACAAGGACGCTGCATGCGTCTACCTCTGCCTCATACGGGTTCTGCCGGCGCATTGCACGGGCCCGCTTCTCCTCCAGCTTGGCAGCGTTCTTGCGCTCCAGGTACCGCAGGTGCCGCTCCTTTCGCTCCGCTTCAACCTTAGCGGCGTATTTAGTGCGCGCCTCCTCCCGCCAGGCGTTCCACGCCTCCAGCGCCTTGTTATGCTCCTCCCGCAGTGTATTCATTTCCTCGTTCAGTTTGTTAATTTTGGCGCTAATCGCATCGCACTTCTTATATACTTCCGCACGGTTGGCGCCGGTGCTGTGCATCTCCTGTTCTCTTTGTTGTTTCATGCTCCGTTGTTCGTTGTACTCCGTTCCGAGGTTTCGGATGCGCTCATTGATCTCCTGCCACTCCCGCTGCAGCATGGCCTCGCGGTGCTTTGCCTCTGTAATGGCTTCGGTGATGGGCTGCAGCTCCAGCAGGTATCGCTTCGCCTCTTCCAGCTTGTTCAGCTGCCGCACTGCACGCTTTTCCGCAGCCAGACCGCCGCTGCTCGTCTCCATTTTGCGTGTCAAATAGTCAATCGCTCCATCAATTTCTTTAAGAGACTTAAATCCGCCAAGCTCGTCGGATAGTTCACGGAGTTTGCTTAGGCGTTCTTCGTGCACTTTTTGGATCTTCTGGATCTCCTCGTTCTTCTTGAAGCGCATCTCCTGCTCTGCCTTGCGCTGCGTGTCAATCTCACCCATACGCTGCCGCAGTTCTCCAAGCTCATTTTCTTGTTCCTCGCGGCCCTCGCGTGGCCCAAGTGATGCACGCAACTGCTTTACTTCAGTAAACAGCGCCCGCTTCTCCTCTGCAAGCCTCGACATTTTCGAACGGAATGCAGCGGCATTCGGCTCCGGGGGACCACCAGGCATTAAAAGCCAACCAGGCGGACGCCTCTTTGCGGGAGCAGCTTCTGCCGTACTAGTCATCTCTTGCGCGTGTGTGCGTGCCTTTGTAATGCCTTTTTTTGACCTCCTACCTTTGTTATGGTGGTCGATGATTTTTTTTAAGGAAGAAAGTATACGAGACACCGGGTGGGCGTGTGTGTAAGCATTAAAAAAAAGGCACAGAGACCTCTGAGAGAAACAAAATCGAATGCCGACCTCGTCTGTGCTTTTTTTCCCTGCACCACTGCGGTCGCGGAGAGAATTCGGCTACAATGGGCGGTGCCCAAGCCCGCTACAACCGCAGCTGTGCTAAACTGCGGGGGTGAAAGGGATGAAAGCGTCTTGTGTTTCTGCTTCTGTCAGACCGATGCTGCCTCCTCAGCGTGTCAGCAGAACGTGCTGTGCCCCATGTCCCATACACACCCCGTACCGCCGGCACAATGTCCACCGTCAACTCCAGTGATCCTCTGTGCACACCAAGAGTCATCGCTGCGCCGCAGCATAGTGCAGCTGTGACGACTGAAGGGCGCCATGCTGCACACCACTACAGCTTTCGGCTCTGGGCAGCGAGAGGGGATGACGGGGGGGGGGGGGGGGGCNGGGGGGGGGAGCACCGCCGGGCGCAGAGGGGACATAGAGCACCGAGTACAGGTCGCATCGGTCCCAGGAATATTGGGAAGTGAGAGGAAAGAACGGAAAAGGGGTGAACAGAGAGTGTAAACACAAGGCAAATGGAGGATGAGTGCCTAGTCCCACAAAAGGAAGAGATGATCGTCAATCATCCTTCCTTGGCATCACCCCCCTCCTCCCTTTGTTCTTTCCTCTATTTCATTACCTCCATTTATTTATTCTTGCAATAAAATGATCCTTTTCCTTCTTCCCTCACAGACGCAAAGAATATTGGGGCTAGTTTTCTGCTCTTCCCTCTTGGCATGATTCTTCCGCCTTCCCCTCGCCGCCACTTCGACCTTTTTCTTCAGACCGAAGCAGGGGCAACTGAACTCAAAAAAAAAAGAGAAAGGCCGAAGTCGGACGACTTCGCCAAAAAACTAGCTAAACCAGAAGCCGGTCCATCTCTGCAATGTTTTCATGTGCCTTCCTGTTTGTTTGTTTTTCCCGCATTTTCTTATTTTTTCTTTTCTTTTTTTTTTCCTTCAGGGGGTGGGGGGAGAAGACATTATCATTCATGCAAATTCCTCCTCATTTTTTGTCCTTCCGCTTTCATTTTCCTTTCGCTATCGCCTCCCTTTTCTCTCCCCAAATACCATTTCCGTTCTGAATTCACTGTTTTTTCTTTTTTCTTTTTTCCCGGCATTCCACGGTCATTTTCTGCTCGATATTTTTTTTTTTTTGCTTTCTTTCATGATGTTTCCTCCATTAATCAAACTTAATGGATGAGAATATAGCTCTGACCAAGGTCCACGCTGACAGAAAGCCGATGGACCCGCTACACAGAACATACAGGAGGCATAAAAGTGTCATATACGTCACGTACAGCACCGTCGCTGCAATGGATGTCATCTGCACCACATTGCAGTAGAAGTACCCCACAAACATCATGAAGTGCAGTCCAAGGGAGGACGGTGCCGCGAAACTCAGCCACCACCACCGGTAGTCCTCTGCGCACATGCGGTAGTAAACAACAGAAACGGAAGTGAGTCCACATGTGAATGACCACAGCACAAAGGCGGCAGTGAGAAAGCCGAAGAAGTGGTATGTGAGCCCCTGAAAAAGGCAGGAAAAGATGAGTCGAAGTTCAAACAGAATCACGACAAACGATGCAGTACCAGAGTACAACAGCAAGTAATTGGTTTGAAGAAAAAGAGGCATCAGTGAGGCGTTGATAGGTCGTGGAATGGGGTTAACACGACACGGTGCTTTGCGGCTGGCAAGAGCGAATCCCATCTTAGCACCGAAGAAAGTGAGCGGTACGAGAGCGCACAACCACATAATGAAAAGCATCGCAAATATAATAGACGGAACCGCACCGGCGCTGCGTGCCGCACGGAGCACCATATTGCAGAACAAAAACGTAAGGTACACAACGCATGGCAACCCGCACGCGAACTTTGCAATCACATGCCATTGTTGCGGCAAGTGGAGCGACTTCGTCAACCACGCAGTGAAGAATCCACCCATTGTAGAAGCAAACACAAAAAGTATGATCATGAAGGACATATAACTCCCTCGGTTTGCAGGAGAGGCGTAACCCAAGAGCGCGACCACCATTAATGCTGCGACTGCAAAAAACACTTGCGTGCCGGAGGCCACAAGCACGACCAGATCACTAGCGCGGTTTGGAAGTCGGAAAACGTCCCCGTTGATCGCTTTCCACCCGTGCTCCTCGACAATCGTCTCAGAATGCTGCTCCTTTGCAACTTCCAATAAGGAATTGTAGTGCACAAAGTCACGACGCAGAGCACGCAGGAGAATCATTGAGACAGTAGAAGACATGGCGAGCACCACCAGCACAGAATACACCACATATAAGTAATGCGTGCCCTTGTTGGCTTTTGCGCTCGACACGCTAAAATACGCGTCCCAGCGTGTACCCCACTGAACATCTTGCTTCTCGTGCCATTCGACAGTATAGGTCCACGCGATACTTCTCGTGGTTAGCGATTCGTCCAAGACCAACGGAAGAAACTTACCTCCTTCAAGGTCAGAGAGACTGATACTGTTGCTGTCGAGGACCGGATCATCATCATCATTATCACCAAAACCGGGGCACTCGTCGGGACGGCCGTCAGTTACATTCTTCCAGTCGATGGAGAAAGGTCGCACAACCACATCAACGATGGTGTGGAGGGCTTCCTCCTCTGCTTCATCGTCCTCAAATTCCATCTTCAACTCAGCGTCGCCATCCATGGTTACCACAGGCTTGGCGCCAGATCGTTCTTTGCGCTTATTTCCTTTACGTCGAAGGGAACGCTTCCGGAGCTGGTGCACCACGTTTCCATCGGACAGTTCCTTTTCTTCGTAGTTCAACGCTTCGTCCGGTGAAAGAGTGTGATAGTGCACAATGAAATGCAGGTGGTTATTCAGGTACACAGGTCCACCCGTGCACTTCGACGGAACGCCCAAATAATACCCCCGCTGAACATCGGCTGAGTCGGGTCGCAACTTGTAAAAAGACCTTTGACAGTGGCCCTGATAAAAAGAGGAGCCATTGTTGTAAGCTGGCAGATTATCTACCATAATATGACCACGATAGTTTTTCTCAATCAGGTTTCGCATCCATTTCACCTGAGCACTGCTCATCCGTGAACCTCCCTCGCATTTTACATAGTTGCACATGCCCTCCAGCATATATAGGAAGTACGATGACCACTGTGGGCGCTCTCCACCCAGAATGGCACCGAGACCCAAGCTCTGCGAGAACGCCGCGCCGGATTTTTCATAATGGGGACAGAACGGCGTGCGTGCTTCATAATAAGGGTATAGCACACCATTCGTGGTGGAGTGTAGTCCATTAACTTCCAGCCGTACTTCGTCCCGTGACCGTCGCGCAGTGGGCACCAGACCTGGAACGTACACAATGGCTTCGCTGAGAAGTAATGGGGTGCAGCTCACAATGGCAGCCACTAACAGGAGCAGGTTTGGCATATTTAACGATGAAACAGATACCAAAAGATAGGCTCTTCTGGTGGCTCGTCTACCTCTTTCTGCCACTACAGGGTAAGTCTTCTTTTTCCTCTGCTTACTTTAGGTATTGCCGCCTGGTGTAGGGAATGTGCGGAGAAAAAACAAACAAGTTAAAACCCGCGGTCGTGCACACCGATAAGGATGTCGAAAGGAAACCTCTTGTTTTTGTTTTGTCCTTTGCCTAGGAAAGAATCCTTACGAAAAAAAAAATACAGGGAAGCACCGCCAATAGTAGGAAGCTCCGAGCCAGTAAGTAATAACGAGGATGTGGTCTATCCTCCAGTTTTATTCTTATTTTTGTCTTCTTTTGAGGTTTGATGATAATAAGAAAAAATGGCAATAATGCCTCAGTTGCCTTGTGAGTTGCGTTGAACGCCTCTTTCGTATAACAACGGATTGAGTGAAGAAGTGTCGGAGAGGAAAGAAGGTGCTCATCGAACAAGAAAACAAACCGAAAGCACGTAGAAAAAATAGCGCCGCTCAACACCAGCCCCAAATCATCACTCCTAATGTCCACCACCCCAGGGCAGGCATATTGAGGCACACCCTACGCATAGTTCATATGTGTTCTTATTCTCCCTTCTTCTCCACCTCCATCTCCCCCTCTCCCCAGTGTTACACGGCTCCTTGCTTATTTTGCTTTTGTTGGTATATGTATATGTTTCTGTGGAGGGAGTTGTCGTCAGATTTGGCGTGCGGTCTTGTTTTCCCTTCCACACCCTTTCTTCCACTCATCTACAGCCGCAAGAGCGACGAAAGTATGAGTCCCTGCCACTTATCAGCATTCCGCACGCTTTGGCAGCCTCGATTGAATTGGAAGTATTGGGCAACTATACATCAGAATACGCACAATAACGAATCGTTCCACCCCCAACAACGAAAAAGAAAGATAAACAAAGAAAAAAAAAAGAAGGGAGAATAAAAGGCCCAGGGAAGCTTCACGAAAAAAAAAAAACTTGTGGGGCGGTTCGGAAAACCAGGTGTAATAGCAAAACGGGGAGGAGGATCAAAGGAAGAAGCGTGAAGCCCCCCAACAAATATATATATATATATATATCCCCTACTATCGTTTTCCCTTAGTGGTGAGCAATGAGACGTTTTGAAATAAGAAGTGAATACAACTAAACAACCGGAAGAAATTTTTTTGTCCAAACCACACTTTACCCTATTCTTTCGTTTTTCTTAGATCCCCTCCCCTTTGCGTCCTGTCGCTCTGTTGTTTTCAGCGGACACACCCCCGAACATCCGCCCGAGACCGCCGTGTCATCGGTTCGGCAGGCAGAAGGAGTACAAAAAGACGCCAGCGGTGGCGCCCAACGGCGGCACAACAATTGGTAGCCAGAAGTAGTAGTCATTCGCGGTGAACACCTCGCTGCCAAACAGTATAGCGGAGAAGACGCGGGGGCCAAAGTCACGTGCGGGGTTCATTGCAAAGCCCGTTGCGTAGCCAATGTTTACGCCAATGGCAAAAACAAGTAAGCCAACTGCAAGTGGCTCGTAGCCTTTCGCTGGGGCGTTTTTGGGGTCGAAAATGGCGCAGACGCAGAACAACAGCACCAGGGTGCATATAAATTCACTCCAAATGCTCAGACCGATCGAGTTGCCTGGTTTGGGGTAAGTGCAGAACATACCACCAAAACCTTTCTCGCCAAAGGCCTCGTTGACACCGCCAGTCCACTCGTCCAACTGATCGCGGTAAATGCCGTACGCGCACGCTGCACCAACGAAAGCTCCCAGAAACTGCGCTAGGACGTAGCCTGGCACCTTCCGCCACGGGAATCGGCCCCAGACGGCGTTAGCAAAAGTGACAGCCGGGTTGATATGTCCACCGGAGATTCCAAGTGAGACGTAAATCCCCATTGCAACTGCCATTCCCCAAGCCAGTGTGATAGCAAGGTATGTGTGCTGGTCATTTACAAAAGATATTGCGACTGTGCCGTTGCCCAGGATGATCATCAAGAATGTGCCAAAGAATTCTGCCACGTACTGACGCAATTCCAGTCGAAGATCGAAAAGCGGCCAATTGTCAGGATTTTGCAGCGCCAACAAACCTTTTGGCTGGTTTGTTATGGGAGAATCTTCGCTGTCGAAGCCATGCGGCTCGCAGTTAGGCTTGATCTCAATCTCCTCCTGACGTTTCTCTGCAATGTTGCCGAAATCACGGTTGTCGCCAGAGGGGGGGGTGCCCGCCGGTGTCTGGTGTGGAGACGTTGTAGGTTGATTACTAGGCATGTGTACAAAAGACTCGAACTACGGTGGCCAAGAGAAGAAGAAATAAGAAAAAATGGAGCAACATTACAGTATTAGTCTCGCAAAAATAGACTGCTGTGTGACGAAGAAGATAAGAAGTAAGAAGAGGAGACCCTTGCACTTCAAGCCTCTCCTCTCCTTTCCTCCTCAACGTCTCAGTCTCTCTCTCTCTGTTGGTTTCTCTCTTTCAGTGTGTCACCATAAATGGGGAAGTGGGTGGAAGGGAGGGAATCGTTGGTGACGATTGATGCAGAGAGAGAGAGAGAGAGAAAAGCGCACCCAAGAGCGATAGACCGCACAAAGATTCACAAGCAGACCACAAGTGTAATAATAAAGTCGCTCTCAATTAAACTTTCATTCTGTCTCCTCGCCTCTCGAATTCCTAATTTCACGAACACGCAGGAACCCATACACACCCTCTCTCTCACACACACAGAGTGAGAGTGATTCTCTTTTTCACTCTCTCACCCAAGAATCACGACCCATATCTTTCAAGAAAAACGAACGTGTGCTTCTGACCCCGCTCTGGATATCGTCACTCTCCTGTTACCGCTATTTTCCGGGTCGTTTCTTGTTTTTTTTCCTTCGTTTAGGGTCAATGCTGTCCCTCAGCACGGTGCTGCCCCTCCTTTTGATATTCGCTGAGGGGTGTTTTCATCCACGGCTGAGTGAACTCGGCGCCTTCGCGAAGAATGAACACCTCCGAGTCACCTGTTGTCACAAGCAACATCTCCCCCGTTGGGGACCACGAGAGACGCCACACAGGCTCGTCGAAAAGAACCACACTTCGCTCCCAACCGCCACCAACTTCCTTTGCCTGCAGCTGGCCGTTTGAACCACTGCTCTGCCTCCTTTCCTGAATGGCCGCTGCCACCTGATCCCACGGCTTGCGGTGGATGATGACGCTCTTGTCTTGTCCACAGGAAGCGACGACGGCATGCCGGGTCGCCGCGCACAGTGGTGCAAATGCGACGTCGCGCACCCAGTCAGCATGGCCGTCAAGCAGCTCAAGGAGATCAAACGGCTGAGCCGCCGGATCACCCTCGCGTGAGCACCACAACCTTACTTGCGAGTCGCAGCCACCGGAAGCCAATAGCACGACATCACTCTGTGGCTGCCACACAGGAGCGAAAGAAACGCTGGTAGCCCCCATAGCGTGAGCAATGTTGTTGCTATTGTTGCTTAATTTCATACTCTCACGCCAGACGCCACCTTGGAACGCCGTCACGGCAACGGTGCCATCGCTGCTGGCAGTCGCCACCATCGGGCTTTCTGGCGCCCACTGTACAGCATTGACGCTGCCATGGTGGCAGTCGATGACGTGCACTGGTCGCCACTGCCGCGAGCCCTGAGGCACCTCCTTCCATATGATTGCCTTGTGGTCATAGCCAGCCGAAGCAAGCACAACTCCAAAACGCGGGTGCGCCCAACTCACCATCCATACAGGGCCCTCGTGGCCAGTGAGAGTAGCGACACGCTGCATCTGGCCGTTTCGAACGGCGTGGATACCTATGGTGCGATCTGAGCTGGCCGTGGCAAGCATCTGCCCATAGTAATCGAACTGAGTATCGTGCACTACATCCTGGTGCTCCTGTGGCTGCTGAGCAGCTTGCGGAGTGGCCTGGTTGCTTATTGGTCGCTGTTGCTGCTGCTGCTTCGGTGGTGCAAGTTGCGGTTGCTGTTGGTATCCACCAGCAGACTGCTGGGGAAAGCGGGGTTGTGGCGAGCGAAGCATAGTAACGCTTAAATACGTTTACCGGTCCTTCCCAGTCTTCTTCTGGTCACTATAATATATATATGTATATACACACTTCTTTTTTGTTCTCTTTCGCCGAAAAGAAACCGTAGTACGTTTCTTACTCTTTAGCTGATCCCTTACACGCACAAACACAGAGACGCACAAAAAGGAAAGAAAACGACCAAGAGGTGCCCACTACAGGAAAACACAGTGCTGCGCACGCCAAACGTTACACCAAATGTATACCCTTTTTTACCATTGGTCCTTCTTTCCTTTATGCAAACTCGCGCTTTCAATCGACCTTTTTCTGGTTTGGAGAGGCTGGTATATCGATGCCTCCCAAATAAAGACACATAAACGCCACCAACAACAAAACACATCCTCACCAGAACCGCCTGCTGATAGCCATCACACTCTCCAACGCCGTGGCCATGGCCTCACCACCCACGCCATCGTGGAACTCCTCTGTGGCATCATCATCGCCCACCCACTCTTCCTGTAGCTCTTCGTCATTCGCCCATGGAGCGGGAGCTGAGGAATGAGTGGGGGCGCCGTCAACAGCCTCGCGTCCCAGCATCGCCCATCGCCGCAGTAGAGCTAGCTCATAGATCGCCAGGTGCGTATGCGCCAGCTTCCACTCTTCACGTTCCCACACCACCTGTGAGATTTTTAACGCAGATGTCAGTAGCGTTTGCCACTCCTTCTCTTCTGCCTCTTCTTCGTCTTCCTTCATCTCTTCCTCCCCTGCTTCAGTGCCTCCTTCGTTACTTGTTGTTGCATTCACAGTACCACATCGCTTGCGCTTCCGCCCTATCGACTCTGCTCCCAGGCTATCTTCAACAGTAGCCTCCGCCTCTACCGTCGTCTTCTCGCAGCCCCACGGAACGCGGCGCTGCACCACCGCAATTGACCAATCCCTGTGGCTGAACGGCAGTGGACAATACTGTAAAATGTCGCTGTGGCACAACGTGGATTGGTTGTCTTCACGCACGTTCATGCGCAGTGATGGAATGCACGGCACGTTGCCACCCAGGGCTTGCTGCTTCCCCAACCAATACTGCCGCACCTCCTCCACTACCGCAGCATCCGCCCCTGTCGCGATAACGCCGTCAAAGCTGGACACGGGCTGACGCTGGACAGGAATCTCGGGGTTTCGGTAGGATTCCACCTCAAACGCCGTTATCAGATCCTCAAAGAGAGAGAGAGTAATATCATGCCTCGATGACGACAGCGTGGGTGAAGGGGGCGCCGCAGGTGCGTCAATGCTCCCCGTTTTGCCTTTTGTCATTGCAGCCATTGTTGCCGTCATCATCGTCCGCTGGGCCAGCCACTGACGATCGTACTGATCAGCAATGTACTGCACCGTCACACGTCGCCGTGTGGCGGGCACAGAGCCGTGCAACTGGTGGTCTGGGAGCACGAACGGATCAACGTCCTCGAGGGCGGTGGACCACTCCGGTCGCGGTCGTATTCCAGGGCGCGCAATAGAGGCTGGAGCAGTGCTGTTTGCCCCACCTCCCGTGAGGGGACCTAGTGGTGACGTGCCGGACTCCTTGGGAGGGAAGGCAGGGACAGCCGAACCGGCACCGCCGGGAGTCAACGGCGACGTCAATTCGCTACGAGCAGACACCGCCCGTGGAAAAACACTGCCACTGGCATTGCTATTGGATGCACTGTTAATGCTATTTACAGAGCCGTCGGCCCTCGCAAGGCGCGAGACAAAGTTTTGCTGCTGTACATTCACACGGTGGAGAGCCAACTCCTGAGACGCCAATAGCTTTGGATGAATCATTTTTGAAGGTTTTCTTTTGGGTGCTTATCGTTATTTGTGTTCCTCCGCCTTCTCCTCTTAGTTACACAGCGAGGATGACCGAACCAGTGGAACCGCCTCTCGCTCGGCCCTCTGAAACAACTAGAAAAAAAACGTCAGATGCAAGAAAACGACGGCCCTGACTCTGTCAGTGTGTCTTGCTTCCCACCACACTTGTGTTACTCTTAAGGCAATGAGGGTTGCACGGTGTCGCGGACGGCGAGCCCACAACCCCACTGCTATGCAGGGGAAGAAAAAAAGTAAATGGAAACAAGATGGGCACCAGTTTGTCCCAAGAGTCCTACAAACATACACACACACAGACACACAAGCATTCACACAGGGAACGAGAAGCGAAATCAGTGTCATCACCACCACAACGGTGAGGAGTACTTCATGCCGGTCATGCATAGCGGCCACCAAGCAAGGGCGTGACGACGCAGTGTCGCAAGCACACCCAAAGTGAAGCGCTTTGAGCAAACCCCAAACGAGAACAACCACAATGAAAAAAAAAGGGGTAAAGAAGCCCAAATAATCAGGCATACACACTGACAACATCTCACCATCACTGTCGTTTTCACGTTTCTCATTCGTCAGAAGGTCCATCACAGTGATAAGCGCACAGGAAAAAAAAAGCAAAACCACCTGGATATCGGAGTCCTTCTCTTCGTATTTCTCCTGTAAACGACCAGCCATATCACCGCACAACAACGAAGCCAAAAAAGAGTAAGAAGAAGAACAGAACACCGAATATCTTTAATATCAGGCCACGGTTTGAGCTAAGGTTTGCCAAGTACCGCATTAGTTCGTTGCTTCCAGCATTCACGTGCCGCAGCGCGCTATCCACGTCCGTGTCAATCCGAAGCACTATCTCATCCTGTTCGTGTACAAGTCGTGCAAAATCATTGAACAACTCCCCCACTTCAACAACAGTAGCTTCAAGCTCACGAACCGCTTCAGCACGTTGCTTGTAATACTGCACATTGCCTGATCCGGTCACCAGTTGTTGCTGTTGGAGTTGGTGTTGTTCTTGATCCTGAAATAGTGCACTTTCAAAAGTCTGTGGACGATCACCAGTGCTAAACATATGACGTCGCTGTGCATTTTCCTTCATAACCCGTGTTTGATGCTGCAGTGTCGTGCGAAACTGCTGTCCAGTACGCGCAAGTCTTGTTCGCAGCGTCTCCACCACAGTGTCGCTATGTTTTGAAGAAGTTCGTACAAGCGACTCGGCATCTCTGCCTCCGCCCCACAAACTGTGACTCTCACCCGATCCGCCGCTGCCCACCTTCGCTGTCGCGGATTTCTGTGCTGCCATTGCGCGTTGCTTGAGCTCTTCAAGTGTCTCCAAATCCGTGTGAAGTCGCTGCAAGGATGATTTTACCACCTGTGTAAGACCTGTTATTTCGGACGACTGATCCTCAAAGACGCTTTGCCGCTGTGTCAGTTTTGTCAACCGCATGATCGACTCTGACACACGCGCTAAATCCGTTGAAAGCGCCTGAGCAAATCTGTTGAAGAGTTGCACTTCGTTACTAGAATGCAATCCCGTGTGAGGTTGTAGCGGAAGCTGCTCAGCTTGAGCAAAGGAATCCCTTTCCTGGAGGCCTGTTTCGCTCATGTTTTTCATACCATCGAATAAGCTGTAGAGCTCATTGGAGCGGTCACGTTGAACCACCATTTATATTATTACTCTATTCTCTGTTGTGTTCTTTTTTGTGTTTGTTTTCATCGTATAGGCACGCATAAAGAGTTACGCAACCAGAATAATGGGGGAGTAAAACAAAGCACACTCTATTTTTGCTGTTGGTGTTATACCTGTGTTTTTTATTTATTACCCACAGACCATTGTACAGTCTCCGCATGCTCCCATCGCGAAGGCGGCAGCAGAACAATCACACACAAACCGAAGCAATGAGGAAAAGCCAGATGGTATGCTTAACTGGAGGACGACGAACTGTAATCCATCCTGTCATCCAAATTGTCCTCCATAATGCCATCATCGTCGGTATCGTAGCCATTTTTATCGTCACGTACCCTCTTTCGCTTATTGGCCTCCCCACAACCCCGAAACGGATCCAACCACTTCTGCATCTCATTTTCCAAAAGCACCTCATATGCTTCCGGAACAAAAACCATTCGCTTCTCCTCAGAGACATTGGCGCTTCCAAACACATCACACTTCCTCTCCTTTTTGGTTCTCTGAACAGCAGGACTACATCCCAACTCATCACTGGCGTCATTCTTTGTTAATACGGCAGCAACAAGCTTTCCCCTGTGGCGTTGGTTAAGACGCATTACCATCTCAAACGCAGGGGCGTCGCGAAATGCCACCAATGAACCAGGCTCAGCACGAACACCTTTCAATTGGCAGCGCAGCTCATCCGTGGAAGAGGACAAAAGATGTGGCAACGCTGTCATCCTAGCACAATTCCTGTAATCCTCTACACTCAAAGGAAAAAAATAAAATAAAACATGACCTATATACCTCAAAGAAAGAGGATATTTGCCTTTGGTGAAAATCCATTTTTTTTCCCTCCTTTCCGTTGACTCTCTTCGCTTAATGAGAAGGCATTCCATAGAATCCACCTGATCCCGCCAGAAGCATACTGTGATTCACATCCCATACAGAGAATTACTCCGTACGAGAACCTTTTTCTCGGCGGAAAGTGGTGAGGGCTGCATAACTGTTTCTTTTTTACATAAAAGTGTAAACATATTCCCCACCACCACGTTCGCGGTCCATGACATGATTCATCATCATATTACGTCTAGTCCAAAGAAAACTCTTCACCTCTTCTGCCTGTAATGTACGGAAGTAATCTCTCTGCAAAAGCATAACGGCTGATCTTTCAGTTGCTTCTTTTGCCATCAAATCCCGACTACACTCAACAGGCACCTGGCGCTGCCTCATTTCATACCGAAGTTGTTGGTAGCGTGCCTCCTTGTGCTCCGCATGAAAAGCTTGGGCAAGAATACCAGCATGAAGACGCTGAAGCCTTTCCGTATCCATTCGTTCTTCTTGTTCACTCTGTTCAAACAGAAACACTTGATATGCTTGTTGCCTTTTCCAGTTGTGGTACGCAAGACGACGCTGGCGCTCCTTCGCATCCGCTGCCAACTCCTCTAGGCGTTCACGCTCCACTTGCTGCCTCCGGCTTTCAATCCAATCATGTACTTCAGCACCTGCGATGATATTACGCGCCACAGGCTCTTCCGAAAACATAATGGTTCGGCGATGAAGAACCTCTAGAATAGAAACAGCTTCAAGAAACATCGCAAAATATTCACCTTTAATTATTCTCCGCCCTCGATCCTCAGCTTCAGGCACCGGTAACGAAGTACAGTGAAAACGGCTCCATTCTGGGACACCTAATATGTCACCCGCATGCCGACAAATGGCATAGAACTCCTCGTGTTCATGTTCATTCAAAATGACACGTTCTGCTGATTCTTTCTCAATAACCTTGACAAGTAGGCTTTTATAGAAACGGTCTTCTCGATGCTTAAACGAGTCATAGAAACACTTGAAGTACCTTTTTTCCTCAGTTTCTTTGCACATTCTGGGCCTTCGGTCATCAAAACACCCAAACAGCAAATGGTTTTCTTCAGCCCTCATGGAGTACCACGCCTCTTCCTTTTCAAAAACCTCATCACGGAACAGATTGAAGCGATCAACACATTCGTCCAAGGTTGCGGTTTTAAGTGCTGCAGTATCCATTTCTATATTGCTCAACAACCTATGGTTTCAAACGGAAAAAAAAGTGAAAGGAAAAAAAAATTCAGTGAGGACATTCTTACAAGAGAAAAGTAAACGAAAATAAAAAAAAAGACAATTCATTGCATTTGTAACACAATACAAGAAAAAAAAGTCAAACCCCTAGATCACTTCCTCGTTCCACATTCTAATGACCAAGAGGGTAAAAAATCCATCTCACACCCGATGTGATGGCGGCGACTGCCAATCGAATCTAGTCTAAACCATGATGTAAAACACGGCTCTGTGACCACATTCCCATTCAACATCATACAAGTTCTATCACCCAAACCACCCGAAACATATCTATCACTAACAACAGTGATGGCCTCGATCTCTCCCGCGGCAGCAGCAAGAAAACCAAATGTGGAAGTTGGAGAGAGAAAAATATGCCTGGATAGTGACAATAACACCACATCAGTCACAGCTTCCCATTCCTGAACAACTCCCTGCCCAGTACTTTGCTTCTCGTTTTTTCCTTTGGTTTCTTGTACAACGAACCGGGACTTACTTGTGGACTGTAAAATGCTAAAATGATTCTTTGCCTCTTGGGACATGGTAGCCAAAAAGAACATATTCGGAAAAGTGACTTTGTCCAAGAACTGCCTCACACAAATGGAGAAAGAGGCAATAAGACGAGATTCATCCTGTTGTTTAAACGAGCGAATATGCAATCCAACGTATTTTCGATTTTGAATGCGGGGGCTAGACCTCATGCGTCGCAATACACGGTACATTACTGGTCGAGCTGGAAGGAAAACTAAAGGGAGCATTGACCTAAAGGGGTCCTTCTTAATCCACGATTTTACAACGCTGCTCGTTCGTTTGTTCACATAAAAAATTGGAAGAAAATACTGGTTTGTCCAGACGTAAACAAATCTTTGCCTTGAAAAAAAATCGATCCCACGTCCTATTAAAGGATCTCCACACGCGAAATGCTTCCATAGTTTCAGATTTTTGTCATGACCAGCTCTTATATCTATTTTTGCGTGACCATTTTTAAAAGGAACTATGTCATGGGAATAATTATGATTCCTAAATTCGTCAGGATAAATCCTTTCAAACTCCGACAAAGACATCATGGGGAACAAACTGCAAAACATGAATTCATTAGGCGCGCGGGGAGTACTCTCTCCGTTTGAGAACCAAAAAAGTTCTCTTAAATCCTCATAGCGAAAAACTTCTGTTTCATTGACATTTTTTGCAAAAGGAAGCAATATTGGCCTGACTGGTGGAGACTTGGATGATCTCAAAGGGGTAAACCAGTCTTTCAATAGTAGAACACGCTCTGACAGTAAAGCAGACATCAGCACACTGGTAAGGGCCTGGACGCGGTTTCCCAATCCACCACTAAGTGACCAAATAATATACTTTTGATCAACCTCTGGATTCCCTGTGGAGACTGCCATATGTCGCCGCCGGTGTGCAGCTAAGGCATTTCTAAATTTATGGCTATACCGAAACGGAATAACTTCTTCCCATACCCATTTCACCATGGAATCACAAAAGGCGTGGTTTATTTCTACGCCTTTATCTGTTTCATTTGGTAAAGGATTTGTATCTTTGATAAGTTCGGAAGATTTCTCAATATAGGAGTCCATCCAACGCTGAGAAACCGATTCCATACTGTTTTCCTTTGTCTCATTTGGTTCTACTAGATTTAGTGATATAATCCCTAATACAAACGCCACCATCAAACAGGCAAAACAAACCCCCCGTGATTTACTACACGGTCGCGCCGCGGCGCGCTTTCCCATCCGTTATTTTCTTGCCGCCTCCTTTTCTTTAATGGTAATAATAATAATAAATCTGCAACAATAACGACAAAAAAAGAAAGAAAACAAAACAATAGACAAATTAACTCCGGCAAAATGAACAATTTGCGGGCAGGGGTTGCGGAATGCGCCGGGGAGAAAGCGGACGCGACAAGGGGGCGCGCCCGCACACAAAAAGGGGGGCCCGG